CACTTTATCAATCACATACTGCTCATGTAATAAAATGATTATGGCAAACGTGCGCGTCTTCTGTTCTTTCTCTCTTATGGTGTTATTCACATGCATCGATGCAATTATGATTATGCATCTATTAAATATTTGGGAATTGTTATTAGCACTTCAAAAATCTCATTTTACGTTCCAAACATTCTATATTTGGAATAAAAAAATATACTTGTGAGGAGTGTAGAATGAGATTTTTGGAATGCCAATAACACTTACTTTAGGATATGTATGTATGTGTATATGTTCGTCAAGCAACGTCATTCTGTGAAAAATCTTCGTTAAATTAAAGAAACCATCAGTTTAAGTAGAGGGGTTAATTTAATAAAAATACCCTTTAATTTAACAAAGATTCACGAAAGAACCAAAATGACTCTTGATCTTCTTGCAAAATATACAACACTATATATATATATATATGTATGTATGTATGTATGTATGTATGTATGTATAGGGATGCTAATAGAGAATTGGTTCTCTTTGTTTCCTTTCTCTTTTTCTTTTAGCTTATAATATTTGAGTATCTAATGCAACTACAATATGAAGTACACTCATGCATGCGGATATGCACCCAAAAATAAAAGGAAAACTATCATGCTCTAGATGCTTTAACTGTTACATTGATTTGTTGCCAACAGTTAAAGCATGATTAGGTGCAGTTTTTAATCTCCCATTCACTGACTCCAATAAAAAGAAAAATAAAGCATGCTCTTCACTTTATTCCATTTCTTAATGATGTTTGTTTAAAGCTAATTAACATTTAACCTTGTTCTCTGCATTTATGGTACCTTCAACCTTTACATTTGTGTCTTTCTTTCCCCTTCTTTTTTTTTTTTTTTTTGCCTCCTTTATTGGGCATGATGCTTAGTTACCTTTCAATTAGGCATCTACATTTTAATTAATTACTTACTTATTCTTCTCACAGGAGAGCTGGGAACTCGGGACGGCCCCCGGGTCAAGCTTAGCCACTAATTAAAGTACTTAAGAAGCTAATTCAGCAGGAGTATTGCAGATGAAGATGATGCGCGCGACGGATCGAGATGCATACGAATCGATGAAGATGCATATGCCCTTTAGGATTATGTATGTATGTGTTTAAATATTCTTGAAAAAATATTATGAATAATCCCAGCTGTGTGTGCATATGCAAATCTTTTTCATGACAGAAATGGCTTTGGGAGGTGTGCGGGGTGAGTGTACGAAAGGAAATGAAGATTGCCACTCGCACAAAAAATACGTTCTTCGATCAAAGATTACTGTTTTCTCCACAATTTTTTTATTGTGACTGAGATAGATAGAGCAAATTTTTAATCGATTGAGAAAATGTGTCTTAGCATGTAAAAAAGACGATGAGAATATATTTATATGTGGAACATAACTTAAAGCAGTCGCCATGCATGCATGCATGCATGGGATAGTTTGGCCTGTAGTCTTCAAGATTCTCAAATATAAATATAAATATATATTAGTTTAATTGTTAACAAATATATATATATATATAATTTAAAAATTAAATAGATATGCTTAATTATGGCATGAGTTCCAAAACTAAAGTGAATATATCCTACCAATTAATAAAAGTGGAATTTTGCATCTGGAAAATAAAGTTGCCTCTTGCATGCTGCATCTTGTATGTGTGATAGCTATCTTCTTCCTTGATTCTTTGACGAAATACTGGAGTACGTATTGTTTTGGTCTTTACTCCGTTCAAACTTAGTTTTGCATAGGTATTCTATATAATTTTTACAAATCACGGTTTGACAGATACACAAAAATTTTTTTTGTGTTTTTATGAGTTATTTTTTGCACATGTACATCAAATTAAAGTTTCGAAGTGAAGAGTGACTCATTTCTACGAAAGGAGTCCTTTTCAATATCGTAACAAAAAAAAAGAGAGAAAATATATAAAATAATAGAGGTTAACAGAAAAGGAAGAACTATATACGGTCTTCTTTAGCTTCAAAGTGAAGCTTTTTATCCTCTCCTTTCTCTTTTGTGGGGTTTTGTGTTTTATTATTGGATTGAGAAGCAAAGAAGCAAAGACCGAGTCTAAAGGAGATATGGGTTCAAAAATGAGGCAGTTACCAAAAAGGGGAAAAAAAAAAAAAAAAAAAAAAAAAGAGCTTGGAAGTGGTGCTTCCACCATATGAGAGTGAGACAGAGATAAGCTAGCTTAACGAGAATAAATTATCAAATTATAACCTCTTTATTATAATAATATATCTTTTATGTAGTCATGCTCTGCAAGTTCCTCCTTCGAATAAAATAAGGACCCGTTTGGCATTCAACTCATAATTTATATGATTCTTTGTATGAAAACATTTTGTATCGAATCAATAAGCCAAAAAATTATTTTCTTTCTTAAAAAGTATATTATTATTAAGGAGAGAGGGAAGAGTTTGAAACTATTACAATAATTGAGGAGATGGGTGTTTCGAATCCAAGATGCATAGGTAGAAATCTAATATTCTATCTACTAAGATATTTGACCACAAGCAGAAAAAACTATTTTCCTTTAACTAAACCTGTATTAATTTTTTTTTTTTTTTTTGAAGGGAACTAAACCTCTATTAAGTAATAACCTTTTTAAAATTCTACAATTTATTTAATCTCAATATCATAGCAATATAGAAGTTTTACCGTAACGATATAATTCCATATTATGGGTCTGCTACTGCCAATTTGGTTCTATTGTTTGTGGACTTTTGGGTTAGATTTCTACATTTGCCAAACGACATTGTTTAGTCATATGGTCCATGTTCAAAGAGTAGTTGAACTTAACTCTATGGCCTCATGTGCTGCCGTACCCAACTCGACGACTCTTTCTCATTCACGGGTGTGAAGTTTTCGAACTTGAAATCTCCTCCGTCGTAAGAAAAGTATCATTATAACAATAGCTAGTCAGCATGAAACACAACTTTAAGACATTATCTGTCTTATTTCCGAAATATTGAACCCTAAACCCTAAACCTTAAAAAGGTTTATTCCTACCCCTTTTTTTTTCTCCTTTTGGTCAATGTTGTCAATTCTCAGAATACTTATAACGTACCCTTGCACATACAATTGCCCATTTTAGAGAATCCCACTCCTGTGTCCCGTGGGACTTGTAGCTTGGCAGTCCACCGGGTGCCGAGTGGTTTTGTTTATCCTTCTAGTTTTGAGTGTCTTCTTGGATAGTTATAGCGGTTCATAGGTGCGAGATGTGACAGTTTAGCCATCTCTATAAAACTGCTGAGATAGATCGGCCTCCTGAATACTAATCAAGAACGCATAAGGGTGTTTCGGTAGTTTTTAAGAAGTCTTTAAGATATAGGAAGAATACCTAATTTCTACGTTTTAAGGTCGTCTGAAATAAAATATTTAAAAATGATTGTTGTTAATTATAAAATGCACGAAAGCTAAATCCAAGTCATGGATAACCCTGGAAGAGGAGCAACCAGTGAGCCCCCTCCCCAAGCCGAATTCTCGACATCTCATAGATGACCTTAATCCAAATATACCACATGGATTTTCACACACACACACACTATATATATATATATATATATATATATTTTTTTTGTCGAAAGGATTTTCAAACTATGTAATAAAGCTTAGTGTTTAGGGTAGCTTAATTTGAAAACGATGGTCAATGTTTCAAAAGTCTACAGTCCGAAGTCTGAAAATTGAATGAATCTTCGGTGTAATTTGTTGGACCAAATAAACTCCAAACTACGTCCTTTTGGTTTTTGTGTGGTTGCCTTTTGGAATGGCTGCAGCCTGCATTCCTTGACTAATTGAACCCATCCATCCCAAGGCCCTCCTTGTTCTCAATTATACATATATAAAAGGGAATTTGCACAAATGGTTCTTATAACTTGGATAGTTTTGTGCAATTACAATCTAAACTACAAAGTTTTACTACGAACCTCTCACACTTAAAATGTGTTACAGTTTAGTATTTATTTCCACTTTCATTCAGTTTTATTTTGTCAAATAATGACACGTGAGAAGAGCACATATTTTGTTATCAATGACATTATTGTCATTTCACATGACTACAATCCATTTTTCATGAGTTTTGAAGAAAATATAAGAGAATTGCCAAGAGAGAGAAAAAAACCGTGTAAAATATAATTTTCTACGACAATAAGATTAGTGTATCGTTATGTGACAAATTTCAAGTACCTTACTCAAAGTAAATGACAAAAAATGTCCTTGAAGAAAGGTAGTCGTAAAGTTTGGGTGTCAAATGTCCCCTAGGACGGGGGACACCCGAGGCCCGATCAAACAAAAAAATTGGATGTCAAAGTAGCAAATCGTAGCTACTTAGTATTACGGTCCAATGATATTTTTCTTCACTTGTAAGTGAGAGGTCTTAAGTTCGATTCTCGTCAAAGGTGAATTCGAACCACATTATTGCTAACCTATTGTGAGACTTAACCCGCTCATCGTTTGTTAAAAAATAAAAAATAGCAAATCGTAAGTGATGAGAATGCTTTTGAAAAAGGACGGCCGTGAAATTTGAGTGCCACATTACAAATATTTTGAAAGAGGCAATTACACGAAACCAAAAAGTTTGGCGATAGATTGTAAATTTTCATAATTTAAATGGTAATTGCACGAAACCAAAAAGTCCATGTACCATTGCGCAATTTTTGAAAACATATCATAAAAGGTTAAAGGAGAGAAAAAGAAAGAAAAATCGAACGGTGGGTACGGACAGAGCTCAGCAGGTTAAACAGTCCAAAAAGAGAAGCTGGAGTCGACACGTGTCGGTCACTAGCGATGTTGACTCGGCGGAGCCACCGGTGAGAGAAAATGTTTTCTTCCTTACAATATTGACGAAACCAAAAGGAGAAAATAAAAAATCTAAAAAAATCTAAAATCTGCAATTTCATTTGCATTTGCATTTCATTTGGCAGCGAGCGAGAGAGAAAGAGAGAAAGAGAGACTCGCATTTCATTTCCCTCGTCTTTTCATTTCCCACATTTATAAATAAATTCATTTTTTTCGATAATTTCCAAATTTTTTTTTTACCTTTTTATTTTTTTTTGGCTTAAACAAATAAAACAAACACAGTGCGAGGAATGATAGAAGAGAGGTCGACGCTCGATCTCCTCCAAGACGACTCGTTTCGCTCCCCGCTGCGAGATTGCTCCGTCGCCGCTGAGTTCGCGCGCATCGGTTTTTATTTGGATCTAGGAGGAATCGGAATCGGAATCGGCGATCGGATCTGAGGGCGGTGGTGAAGCGAAGCGATGCCGTCTCATTCGGATCTGGACCGTCAGATCGAGCATCTGATGGAGTGCAAGACGTTGCCGGAGGCGGAGGTGAAGACGCTGTGCGAGCAGGCGAAGGCGATCCTGGTGGAGGAGTGGAACGTGCAGCCGGTGAAGTGCCCCGTCACGGTGTGCGGAGATATACACGGCCAGTTCTACGACCTCATTGAGCTTTTTAGGATAGGAGGGAACGCTCCCGATACTAATTACCTTTTTATGGGTGATTATGTAGGTCAGTTTCTTTTTTCTTTCTGTTTACTTTTCTGCTTTCTTGCTTTTTTCCCTAATTTCCTTTGGGTTTTGATTTATTTACCGTTTTTCAGATTACTTTTTTATTTACAATTTATTTATGGAAATTAATGAGGCTCTGGATTTGATTTCTATTTGTGTATTTATGGAAATTGAGTTGCGAACAATCCAGTTTGTGTATTTGAGATCAGATGCTATAATCCAGTTTTTTTCTTGGATTAATGAAAAGAATTGAATTTTATCTGATATTATGTGGTGGCCTTGATCAGCCTTACTATAATTGTTATTAGGGAATTTGTTGGCCTGGTTTCTATTGCTGGTATTATGTTCTTACCTGTCTAAGATCTGTTGGATTGTCAAGAATAATTTTCCGTAAATGGGAAAAAAATTATTGTGCCGAGCTATGCGTTATATTGTCTTGTTTAGCTTAATTGATGGGTTGACATTGTTTTAGAAGATAGTTTGGAATTTTATGAACTTATGTACCGATGTTTTCTTAACATCTTGGCCCGCTGAATTGCAGATCGTGGGTACTATTCTGTGGAGACTGTCACGCTTCTGGTCGCCCTGAAAGTCCGTTATAGAGATAGAATTACAATCCTCAGAGGAAATCACGAGAGCCGGCAAATTACTCAAGTGTAAGAGTGCTTATTGTTGTATGTCATGTCTGTTGCACTTAGTCTGACTAAGTTTTGTTATACCATTCAAAGTATGTGGAGCTGTATCTAGATTTTTGTGTGAATGCTAGCAGCTGTCACTTCTCAGTGTTTGGTTTTATTGGTTGACTCGCAAGTTTACACAAAAGAGTAATGTAGATAATGCTTGGAAATGCCGTGTTAGTACTAAGTGTTTTCCTTTTCTTCTTTTTCCTTGGCATATTAAGATACTTAGATTTCTTTTAAAACAATGTAGACACCTGCCTTCATTGTTAGATATAATATGCTTTTATGGAACTATCCTCACTCCCGAAAGAAAAAGTCGGGTTATATGTGGTCGGTAGAAGATACTTCTCTGTTATAGAGGGTGTCTATTGCCAGCAGAATATAACATCCATTCATGGCTCCTACCCATGTCCCCATCAATAAGAGGTTCCTGTCTTGGAAATATTGTGTAAAATATTGATATGTCTAATCCATCCATGGTACTTTATATGGCTGCGACTTGAACTATGGGCATTTACAAATTACTTGATGTGGCTGCATGGCAAAAAAACTGAGAGTTGAAACTTCCATTACTGTTGACAAGTTTTTGTTGATTGACAGAGAGATTAGTTTCTTTCTTGGTTGGATCCTATTTTTTACCCATTTTTGTCTCACTTATTTCTCTTTTTCCAGGTATGGTTTTTATGACGAATGCTTGAGAAAGTATGGGAATGCCAATGTCTGGAAGTTCTTTACCGATTTATTTGATTATCTTCCCCTGACAGCCCTCATTGAGAGTCAGGTTAAGTTACTTATTTTGCTGGCAGTTTGATGAATTTCTTCAAGACATGTTGGTTGCATTAGTTTTTGACAGCTTCTGGTATATCTTGTAGGTCTTCTGTTTGCATGGGGGTCTTTCACCATCTTTGGAAACATTGGACAATATCCGAGCTTTGGACCGTATACAGGAGGTACATACGCGTTTTATGGTTCAATTCAATTACAAATACGTGTGCATGGTTTTGCATCTTACAAGGTTGTTGTGGTCATTTTCACATCATAACATGTTTCCGCCTGAGCAGGTTCCACATGAAGGACCAATGTGTGATCTTTTGTGGTCTGATCCAGATGACCGCTGTGGGTGGGGAATATCTCCGCGGGGTGCTGGTTATACATTCGGGCAGGATATAGCTGCTCAGTTTAACCATACCAATGGACTGAGTCTGATTTCAAGAGCTCATCAGCTTGTCATGGAAGGATACAATTGGTGCCAGGTGCGTGAACCCGATTGGAAATGGTTCTCTTTTCCTCATTTTGCGTCAGTTTTAGCTGTATTTTCAACTTTGATCATAACTTTGTCTTTCAGGAGAAGAATGTGGTGACTGTTTTCAGCGCTCCAAACTATTGTTATCGGTGTGGGAACATGGCTGCAATTTTGGAAATTGGCGAGAACATGGACCAGAATTTTCTGCAGTTCGACCCAGCCCCTCGTCAAATTGAGCCGGACAACACACGCAAGACTCCCGATTATTTTTTGTAATTTCAATATCTTACGGGCTGTTTGTAATCCATGTTTTCTGTAGATGTGTCGTTAAAAGGAGTTGTGTTGTTTAAGTTGAGGGTTATGGTCAACATGATTCTTTTGTTTGGTGTTTTTAGCCCCTGCTGCTGCTTTGTTGATTTTCCGAAGAAACTCATTAGGAGAACTGACAACGGTCACCAATGGCCTGTGGCTCTTGTCTTGTATATTTTTCGGAGGAAACGTCAATAACATGGTATATCTTGTTCTGTAACTTTGCAACGTCAACGTCGAAAGCTTACTTCCGTGTTACGCGCGTTTACGTTTTGCCTAATGAATGGATGGTTTAAGGCAAGAAATTGCCACGAGCCTTTCGTTTGACAATCCGGCAGTGGAAGCAGGTCTGCTTTCTTCTGAAGTATATTAACGAACCGCTGATGACCAACAAGAACAGCATGATCCCCTGTTCCAGCAGTTCATATCGATCAACTTCATTGACTTCATTTTCACAATTTAAGAAGTTAATTTCAAGCATTTTCTGGCAAGGGAAACTTCCAAGATTCTGAGCGAGCATTTTCAAGAAACGAAAACAGAGATTTTGTGGATTGCATAACCATTACAATGCATAATGTTTCTTTATGATACAGAATGATTCAACAGATGAGCGTTACAACAGCCAAATCCTGCCCTACTCGAAACCATACCAATTACAGAACATGCCTTTCGTACGCGTACTATGAAGACATACTGAAATGCTGCATTATCTTGCGCTTTTGGAACTCTCCCTGCCTGCGTATTCCTTTAAAATCAGGATTCAGGAACAGCTTTGCCATACACTAACGGAAATTCATCATACTGTTCGGAGAAGCCGTGTTTCTCAGCAACACTCTTCAATGACTCGCAAACCTGGTACATGGAAGGCCTATCCTTTGGCCTAGAAACAACACAAGTACAAGCAATCCTCATAAGCTGCAAAATCTCATCATCGTGACCTTTCCCGGATAAGACATTGTCAATGGCATCCATACTTCGACCAGTGTTTGATAAATGATTCACCCAATCCACCAAGTTCCCCTTGAATCCTTCCACTACATTACTGATTTCAAGCGGCTTGTGTCCAGTCACCAATTCCAAAAGAACCACCCCGAATCCATACACATCCCCTTTCAACGATGCCACCATTGTGCTCGAGCACTCAGGAGCCACATAACCAAACTCTCCCAAATCCCCATTTACGAACGAACTGTCATTGGAATCACGAGAAGCCACCAGCCTTGCCAGCCCAAAATCCGTTATGTGAGCTTCAAAATCATAGTCAAGAAGGATCACATTCGAGCTAATGTTCTGATGCATATAAGGCGGCTGACACACATGGTGAAGCCAGGCAAGCCCTCTGGCCGCACCTACACCAATCCTGAGCCGAGTCGGCCAATCCAAAAAACCATACTGGCTATTCACATTACCACTTCCATGCAACTGAGAGTGTAATGTGCCATTGTACATGTGCTTATACACCAAAAGCTTCTCTTCCTCCACAACACAAAACCCCAACAAAGGCACCAAATTCGGATGCCTGAGCTGCCCCAACCTATTCATCTCCGACCTAAACTGTTTCTCACCAAGCTTACACGCATTGAGCCGCTTAATCGCCATTGCCGACCCATCAGGTAGCACAGCCTTGTAAGAAACACCGGTCCTCGTAGAAATGACAATGTTTTGGGGGTCAAAACTGTTGGTGGCGGCCAACAAATCCGCCAAACGGACTTTCACAATGGGTTTTTGAAACAGGGACACCTGAATAGCCTGGTGAGACCTCAATAACCCAACCCAGCCACCCTCACTCTTTTCACCACCGCCAACACCATCACCAAAGCTTCGCTTTTTCCGACCCGCCCTGACGAAAAACCACCACCAAATGCCCAATCCCAAAATCAGAGACCCGGCAGCACCAACAGCACCGGCGGCGATTATAATGCCGAGGCTTTTGCTGCTCAATCCACCACATTTCGACCCCAGAGGCTTCCCACAAAGACCACCGTTCCCATCGAAATCATCCTTCTCGAATTTCGACAAATCCGGCGGAATTGTACCAGTTAAGTAGTTATTAGCGACGGACAATTTCTTCAGCCTATCAAGCCGGCCGAGCTCGTAGGGCAAAGAACCGGAGAGGCGATTATCGTTCAAAACTAGAGTGTTGAGGAACTTACAATTGACGATCTCCGGCGGGATGGAACCGGAGAGTGCGTTGCCGGAGAGATCCAGTGTTACGAGGTAAGGAAGCCAGTTGCAGATTTGGGGAGGAATCGAACCGGAGAAAGCGTTACTGGACAGGTCTAAACTCTGGAGGCTGTGGCAGAACTTGAGAGACTCCGGGAGCTTTCCGGCGAGCTCCATCGACGGGAGCTGGAGGCTGATGAGGCGATTCTCCTTCTCATTCCAGCAGGAAACACCAACCAGCTTGCAGATGGAGGCCACCGACCTGTTGGCGAGGTCCCATTGGCCCAGCCGCCCTTCTGGGTCTGTGAGCGAGGACTTCACTCCCTCGAGGCATGCGACGTCGTCTTCGAGGGAGTAGCAGGGGAGGAGGGAGTTGACGAGCAAGAGGGAGACCATGACCAAAATGGCCTTCATGGTTGTTCGAAATTGCGATTGGTATTGGGGGTTTTCGGATGATTTGTAGGTGGTGGGATTTGGGACTGTGAATGCGGCGTCGATGGTGATGGCGACGGCGGAGGTTGGGGCAGATGGGAATGGGATTCCATTTGATTTGACAGTGGTTCTTCAGTCTTGACACTTGACAGGGACCACCATTTTGGAGTTTTGACTGCCACCTGTTATCTGGGCATTTTATGGGAGCTATGCTACGGTGTCGTTTTGTACCACGCTCTTTTTCTTTTCTTTTTTTCTTTTTGATAAGAGGTAATTTCGTTTAGTAACAAGGAGCTTACTTAAAGCACGGGCCTAAATATACATAAAACACAAAACAAAAGATGGGCCTTCAAAACGACCACCACAAAAGCCCAACCCGTGGAGGTTTTCCGATCGGGGCAAAGCACGGCTAAAATTGGGGCACAAGGATTGGGAAACAAAAAACATATGGAAGGGGGGAAAAGCAGGTGTGAAGGGAAATGGGCTGCCACCGACCTTGGCCAAAGTTAAGGTTGGCGGCTAAATGAGGTGCCGGAGTTGGAAGCACTCAAACAGAGCTGAGGAAACCTCTTACACAAAGAGAAGGATTCTCACCAAACGGGAGAGAAAAAAGAAGCCCCCACTTGGACCACGCTCTTTTGGTGTGAGAATGACTTATGTGAGAGTACACTGCACCGGTGACGTTTGGTGCTAATGAAATAAAAGAATGTATAATTTTGTGAACGTGTTTTTGTTTTATTGGCACAAAACTCTTAAAACTCTTTTTCTCTTTCTCATTCAGTAGTCTAATACATGACATATTTGATTTGATAAATGTAAAAATACGAATCCAATTAGTTCAATAAGTACCTTAGACAATCATTTTATGCAAGTGATAAAATTTGGATAACACTGTTTGTTTATGACAACTCTAACATGAGAGTCATGCTTTTGTAAGGGTGGCCAGGTCAGTAACGTGATTAGACTATCCTACTCAAATTATTTTCCTACAATAATGAATGATTATGTGTTGTTAACGGAACATTCATTGAATCAAAAGATAATATTGGATTTGAATGATCTTATAGAACTAGAGAAGATAGAGCACAAATCCACAACTCAAACTTAATGCCCAATCCAAACACAAATTACAAAAGCCTACTCTGCACAAGGCCCAAGATCTACATAACACAGACATAATGCATGGTTAATACTATACCTTGGACCCATTAATAACATGTGAACTAATAGCATAATGTGTTAGTATAAAACGTCACCCTAAAAAATTTCTCCATCAAGCCGTTGAGGATTCCCAATAAAACTGGAAGGGACACCAACTCTCCTAGCAGCTTCAGTCCATGCTTGAAAAAGAAAAGAGAAAGGGAAAAGGATGGAGCACAAAAGAAGATAAAAAGAATGATGCCATAACACCTAAAAGATGAATGATTCGAATCGTTTGAAATACATTACAACGTGAGTCTTACAAAAATTTGTGTCATAAATGATGTCACGAAATGTGAGCACACCCAAAGTGTAGAGCAGAGAGATTTGAGCGTTGTGAAGCCAGTAGAACAAGCAGCTGGTTCTTAAGAGTCCTTTTCGAGGAACCAAAAAGATGTTCGTGTTCGTGTTCGTGGCGTGAGAGGAACCAAATGAGGGAAAGCAATTGCTTTGAAAATGTGGATAAAATCATTGGGGACGAATCTTGCTCCTAAAGTTTCTATATTCTGTTTACTTTACGTCTCTTGCAAGTGCAACGACCAAAAGCAGACTAATTACGTACTCCTAATTATAATTAAGTAACTCATTGACTACAACACGTGGTATCAGAGCCAGTTGAAGCAAAACATTTGTTGGAGACGAATCTTGTCCATAAAATAAAGTTTGCTCTGAAAACCATATTTCACATGTCTGTCTTACACGAATTCCTGATCAGTCTCAATATTATTTCAAAAAGACTAAGACAGCTCTATCATCCTCATAAGGTTAGAATCTAATTCTAATTTTCATCTTTTGCCAAGTATATTCAAAATGGAGATAAAGTTGGTAATCCACTCCCTTCTCATTACACGACAACAAGTATATATAAAAAGAAAGAAAAAAAAAACTAATGAAAATGACTTGAAAACTATGAGTTTTAATCAAAATGGCAAAAATGTGTTATAAGTGAATAGTATCAAGAATGACTTTTTAGAGTAAAAATGTCATTCTCGTTAAAAGTGAACAATACCGGGAGTGTTTCGTCAAAACTCAAAAAAAAAAAAAAAAAAAAAGGAATTTTAGATCCTTACAAGTTACAACTCAAAACACATGGGAATATTTGCCAAACAGAAAATAATAAAAATTGAAGTTTCGCGTAGTAGTGAAGTCCTTACTGGTTTGATCATCGTCTAGGTAGTTTCTTCAGGAACCCCACAGAACAGAACAATTTGACTTAATTTCCTTCGTTTTTAGTTCTTTAATTTATTTTTCTCATCTTTGTCCGGATCGATTTCATACAGCTCCTTTATAAATGCAATGAGATATATTCATACAGCTCCTAAACCCTAGTTCACTGGTTGCTTGTTTGCTCAAATTTGGGAAGCTATGAAACACAAGGGCAGTAGTACTAGTTGCAAGAAGAAATCTCTGTGCGAGAAATCGATG